ATAAGGTGGAACTTGGTTCAATCAGTGCATATACATCATATGAGGAGACTGATAATATACCTGTAACAACATCAGGTGACGACTCCTGATCTTGTCGTCCTGCTAATGCATAAATGCGGTTCTAAGGGGACGCTTGAGCTAGATGCTCCGCCTCTGCCTCTACCACGACCGATTGGTGCTTGTGAACCTTGCCCAGGGGGCGTACTGATGATGATGAACCAACTACAGATCCCGCTTGCTGAGGTATGCTTGCATTACTTCTCGTCGGGCAATACCTCATAACTTGGCCTGGATAACCACAAGTATAACAAACACCCAACCCCATACGGCACTGCCCGGCATGCTGCTTGCCACACTGAGCACACCGTGGCAAGGGCGGCTTCATCTGACTTGACTCGCCCCTATGCTGAGAGCTTGAGGCCCTGAATATGTGGAACAATCAAATCTCCCACCGGCAAACTGATGGGGTGTGCTAGCCGATGGCTGGGCTGGATACCTCGGGTATTGTTGCCTCTAACCACCTCGAAACTCCCCAGAAGGACCCGAAGACCTCGCTCTCTTAATCTGGGCCCTATCATGCTCACGATCGGCCCTCTGCTCCTGCTTACGCTCCTCTACACCCTGAGTGTATGCCTGAATACGAGAAATATCCATGTCTTCCTGAAGTGAGACCGACATACAATTGTTAAGCAAGTGCGTCTCTAACCCTATTACCCGTGAACCCCATCCTCCATCTTAGATACAATAGTGGGAGCATACCTAGCAAACGAATCAAATTGAATATTGTACTCTCGAACACTCATGTTACCCTACCGAAGGATCAAGAACCTATCAGCTCTGGACCGTCTAAGCTCTGGTGGCAGATAATGACGAAGAAAAGCCTATGTAAACTCCTTCCATACTGTTGGAGGGGCATCCTCATCTCTGGGCAATTCCCAAGACTCATACCAATTAACTGCAACATCTTAAAGTCTATAGCAAGCTAGCTCAACTGACTCAGTCGCAGTGGCCTTCACCCTCAAAGTCCTCTGCATTCTATCGATAAATACTTGAGGGTCCTTGTTTGGATCTGTTCCAGTGAATACTTGAGGGTCCAAATTAATGAAATCACAAACCTCGCACTGACGGACCTATCTGCAAGACCAATACCTACTTCCTAACGTCGAGCCTGTGCGGCCACTAATTGAGTTAATAGCTGAATAGCATCTCTTATCTCCTGACCCGGTGCATCTGGCTGAGGAGATGGACGTACAGGGGCGAGCGCTGGAGCTGGTGCCCCTCGGAGCTCTTCTGGAGAGGGCAAGGTATGCGAAGTCTGAGATGGAAACTCACTATGAGACTCTCCCCAAGCCCTGGTAACTCGTGGCGCTCGACTAGTAGTCTCACCTACCATGAACTTGCCCTTTTGGGAGGCTGTAGTCTTCTGAGGCATCGCTGAAAACATAACATATCGTTAGGAAAATGAATTCTTATATCGCACGATCTAAGATAAGAAGGGAGGATGACATCCTTTATGTCTTGTAGCCTTCTGTCTATAAGTATGGTGCTCAACACACCCATAAACAAGACTCTACTAGACATGGTCTGTAGACAATCCTAGGATAGAACTGCTCTAATACCACTTTTGTCACGACCCAAACCGATGGGCCATGACAAGTGCCCGAGTCCTACCTGTCGAACACCCTTAAGCATGCGTCTAAGATATAAACATGAATAACATCTGTTGAATTACGAGAATAACATGTGTGAGGGACTCTGTCCAAAAGACATATATACATATACGTGCGGAATACGTAGGGCTAGCCGACAAGGCTGCTACAGACAACTATATATCCAAAACTGGAAGCCGGCAAAGGCCACATACTATCCAACCATACATAACTGTCTACAGACCTCTAATAGAATATACAACTGTACATGGACGGGACTGGGCCCCGTCATAACCATATATGTATACAAACATATCGTATCAAAATCCAAAGCAGCTCCGGATCAAATGGAGCACACCAACTTTCGTTGATCAAGGATCCTAAGAAAGGGACCGTCAGCTTGTCTACCTGCACCTTCAGGCATGAAACGCAGGCCCCAGGAAATAGGGCGTCAGCACAAATAATGTACTGAGTATGTAAGGGATGAAAATCAGTACATAAAAGGCATAGATGAAGCATGGAATAAAGAATTTCGCCTGTAAGTCCAAATAACTTTGTAAATCGTGAAACATTTATAATGTCATGCAAGTGCATGTAAATGTCGTGTCATGCATAGGTATAGATGTACATAACATCATCAAGCCATTGAGGGCATCCCATCATATCATCTCGGCCACTGTGGGCAAAATCATCAACATATACCAGTTGATCAGGTAGTGGTGCGTATATAACGTCGTAACCTTTTTCTCATATCCCCTATACATATAATATACGCGTATATAACGCCATCTGGGCATGGGTCAATGTACATGAATAAATGAATGAAATGCATAAAAATATGTTAATAAAATTAATATACCTTTCGGATAAACTTTATCAACTACGTATTTTTCTGAGACTCGTGAACAGAAGATATAATAATATGTCACATGGGGAATCAAGAACATAGACACCCCTTGTACTTCTATGAATAGAGTCATCTATGAAAGCTGTGCGTTTGCTCGTTTCGTTTGTATCATTTGGATCATGCCAAAAAGAAAGAACGCATAGCCTTAACATACCTGAATCGATTCTCTTGACAATCCTTCTAACACACGCCAATTGCGACGAAACACGTAACGGCGAGATTGAAATAGAGAACAAACCGTATGATATTCTTGAGAAAGATTGTACCGTACTCCCTTAGAATCGCAAATCCCACGTTGCTATAGTATTTAATGGTATTCGTATGAAATATTTGAAGAAACTACGTTGCTATTTGCAAACCATTACCTTTGCTGAAGCTTTCCTTCTTAATCTAGTAGATTTTGTGCATTAGAAAGGTTACCTTTAACCTTTCGGTGTGGGCCCCACTAGGATGACTAATCCTTTCCTAAAGGCCTCTAATTAGGCCACCTATATGTGAACTTAAGGGTCAAATTCTTTTGGCTTTGTTGGCTGCCACGTTAAGGGGTTCCTTGGTCTTATTCAAGGATCTTAATTAATTATCCACTAATTCTTAGTTAACTTCTTAATCTCCCATTAATCAATAATTAATCAATTATCCACATAATTAAGAATGATTTCAAATTACTTAAAATACTACTCACTTTTAACACACTTTATGTATCCTATTTTCATGGTCATGTGGTACCTTGTATGGCACTAGTCCATAAATGCCGGGTATTATAGCTCGGACCGTATTTTCTTCCAAATCGACAACCTTCAACAAAACTCATTTTTTTTATTCGTTTACCTTTAACTTTCACGGCACTTACTTATCCTCTTTTATAAATAGCATAAATACTTATAACCTCAAAAATAATCTCATCCCCGAGTCTACGTCGATTAACTTACGACGAAGCTTTAACGTACGAAAACGCAAGATGTAACAAATACTAATTTATATGTAATTGGTAAATTGTATATCAACTTGTAATACAGTTAAAACCTAAACAGTGAGGATAAATAAGTTTCTAATGTAGTACATTTAGGTAAAAATCCGTTGGTGGGAAGAATTACTAATCAATAATGGTAAAGATGACTTGGTTGCCGCTTTGAGCACACTCTATTTAAAATTTTAGCCAATGTCAGATTGCTCATCGTTTTTCTTCTTTTGAATCTAATCTCACAATGTTCCTCGCTTGTAACTTTCTTTTCAATTTCAAAAGCCTACCAAATTAAACCTTTGATTTGAAAACTAACTACGACGATAGATTTATTTCAAAAATGCATTGTAGAGAATAGTTATGCCATGAGAATGAAAGTAAAACACAAACTAAGAAGAAAAAATTATAAGAAAGTCCAAGGACTGTATGCAAAATATATTTTATCAAGAAAAAAGAGGAAAAAGAAGCACAATAGGGAATAAACAATGATGATACAAACATACTACCATTTAAAATACTTAGTTTATATTCAAACTTCAGACCATACATCTGAAATTTTAAATTGTCAGAATCTTACTTCATCCTTGTTATCTGAAATTCGAATAGTCAAAACCAAATTTCGGGTTTGAAGCTAGAGCCTAACTTATACCCTAAGTTCTAAATCAACATTCAAACTTTAAGATCTGATAGTTCAAACTTCAAATATCTAAATTTTAAAACCTTATACCTGAAGTCTAAACTTTGATTGTGAAGCGGCTAAATATTAAGGGGTTAGGGGTCGTTTGTAGTAAAAATAATTTCGGAATAAAAGTCTTATCCTTTGTTGGGTTACTGTTCTTGGGTTAAGTTATTTCAGGATTAAAAATTATACTGAATAACTTATACCTATCAAGGGGTTGAATGGTAATCCCATTATAAGTTATTTTAGGATAAAACAGTAAAATTGATAATCTCAGGATTAATTCCCAAATTGTCATCAATAAAAAAATTGACCCAAATAACTGCCCACCTAATTTCTTAAACTAAAAATAGCTGATGCCTGACGGATGTATAGTATATATAAAATTCATATATAATATGTGTATAATCTATATATACCGGGTAGAAAAATTCATGTAAAATTTCGTATATATTTAGACAGGGGGTCCCAAAAGCGGCAATTTGTGCACTTCCCGTCATGGTGCTACTGGAGATTAGATTTCTGGTGGACTCACCCGAATTCATTTCGGGAGTCAATCTTCCTCACGTTGAAGTTAAAATTATGGCAATATTTTAAAGGTTTTGGACAAGTGTCTTAGCCATTCTAGAAGGCTATGTTAAATGGCAAAAGAAGTGTAACAAGTGGCAAACTTGATCAGCCACTTTCTTGCCATGCACAACAAAGTTACATGCAATTACAATTATAAATTGCCATCATTTGGCTGCACAATTTATCAACCATCACAAGTGCTTTTCTACTTAGCCTTCTTCTCTTTCTCTCTTAGCTTCTCTTATTTCCAATTTTTCTTATAAATTTACTTTGTCCTATTCTCTTTTCAATCTTGTTGGATTATTGTAATATAAATATGTTGTCGATTCCTGTATCCTCTAAATTAAATAAAGACAGGCTTGTTTAATCCTGGGGAAACATTTCACATTGCTGAAATAGTCAGTGCCCAGCACGACTCAAGTCAATCCGTGTATACGCTTACAAATAATATTGAAGCAATATTATTATTGAAATTCTTGCTCTCAATTACTACAGAAATAGAGTTTGGAGTTGGAACGGCGAAAATTCTGTGCGATGCCGAATGTTGAATTAGAATAGTCCTTACGAATTGGTACTTATTTGATTCTTTTGTATCTGCTGAATTGGTTTTGAAAAAAAAATGAGACCTTGACCAGGGGCGAGAATAAACTTGCCGAACTTGATAGAAGAAGTAAGAAACTAGTTTTTGATATTTGATTAAGAATTCTGAAGTTTCTGAACTAGTTCTATTTTATCAGGGCAAACTTTGTTGAGGCTGTGAAATTGGTACACTGTCGATACTACGGACATGCATCTTGTATACAGGGTATGTCTTCTATTGCTTCCTCATTTTGAAGTTCCTGAGAATTGCTGAGTGAAAGTGGATTGTGACTATATCCAACTCCAGTTTGATGACATTGCAATTTCAATTTTCAAGTGCCGTGATAAGCTGCTGTTTTTGTCCTCTCTATGACTCTTTCAAACTTGTCTAAACTAAACTACTATAACCTCTTCATATTAGTGAATAATTTATTTCTACTGCTTAATTTTTGTTAGCATAGATTTCTCTGTTCAAGCTGATACGGTTGTTGCTTCATCGATTTCTATTTTGTAAATAATTTCGTATAGCACTTGGTTGAATTAGGGTTATGACATAAATGAGTGGGATGCTTATTTTGTGATAGCGTAGTCATACAGAAGCAACTGAAGTACCTGACTGTAGATTCGTATTATGTCCCAGTTTTTCTCCTCTGAGCGTTCATAGAAAGAACCATTGAGGAAAATAGTGAGACATGCTAACTCATTGTTGAGCTAAAAATCTTCTCATAGACTCGCAATGCGACAATAGCTAGGAAGGGAACAGAGAAAAATATGAAATGCTGAACAAGGAAAATAAAGTGATAACATTTGTGATGAGCCAATTTTTTCCTCACTTTCTGGTGAAAAACTACATGGTAATGGTCTATTTCTTCATCATAAACAAAAGCCCAAGGCAGCATGTTTTGCTCTTTCTGGGAATATGGTGCTTTTAAAATACCTTGTTGTCCTTTCTCAAAGTCCCCATAACACTCTGTAGAACACTTTGTGTTGAGTTTGTCAAGTAGTTGTATATTAAAGCCATATAAAACACTTCAACAATCCAAACATATTTAGTGTAACATGGAATATCACAAGCCATTTCCTACAAAATCTAGTAAGGAATAAGTGCACCAACGTCTTCCCTCTCGTCACTGGAAGGATAAATAAGAGAAATGACAAATTAAACTAATTTAGTAACATAGGCATGGGAAACATTAGGAGTTGACAACTATCTAAACTATCATCCAAATATTGGTGGTCCAATTATTTCCTTTTCCAAAACTGACTAATCTTGATATTTGAGGTAATTTTGCAGGTAAGTTGGCCATCAATTGGGTGCTACAATGTGAAGTCAGTGTCCCAAAAAGCAGAGTAGGACATGTCACCTACTAGGCATTGAATTGAAATTTTGTTCGACTATCCCAACATACTCACATTTTTGTTTATGTGCTTGTTTACAATTGTAAGTTCTAGTATACATCATTTATGTTAAGAAAACAATTGCCTTCTTCTGCTGTCTACCCTTGAGTAGTTACATTCTTCAACTTGCAGATTGGGTTTTTGTGTCATATGATAGAACCATGTTCTGTTTATTGTACATCCATAGAAGCTTCTTTGGCTTTTAGCATGTAGTAGTATTGTAGTATAACATTCTCATGTGAACAATTTTGTTATGTGGAGTTACTTGACGTTGATCACTTATGGTACCAACTCCCTTGGCAATTTTTATTTTCAACATTTTCTACCTAAAGATAAACAGACGAGGTGAATTGCTCTTTTGATATTTCTACCTAAATTTAATAAATAGATGAGGTGAATTGCTCTTTTGGTATTTTCCATAATACACTTTGATTTTGTCCTCCAACTAGACTCACTATTTCTGTTATCATAAGTAACTTCAGCATTTTTTTTTTATAACCGTGGTGTCAGGCCAGCTTGCATGCACCTCGCCTATTTTATGGTGCGTCTGCTATCTCCCACCAGCACAGGTACTAGGTAACTCTTTCCAGCAACGCTTGGACATATAGTAAGAAATCACCTAGTATTTTTCCTCCGCTAGAATAACTGTTGCGGAATATCGTGGGTTAACTAGCACACAAACACACACAAACCAAATAGAGAAGAAAAATCAACACAAGGATTTAACGAGGTTCGGCTAAGCCTAATCCTCGGGGCAAAAGCAGAGAGAGTTTTCCACTATGAATGAGAAGAAAAGCACAATACAATCTCAAGGATCCCCAACTACAACCCATATATGTAGATCTCAAAAGGTCCAAAACATATAAGAGAAAGGTTTCCCAATTTGACAAGGACTATAGGTTTTCTTTTCCTAAACCTATAGGGATTAGGGGTTTCCTAAAAATACAAGGAAATAATTCAAGCAACAAATAACAAATCTTCCCCTTGGCTTGAATTCTCTTCATCAACAGGAACAACGTCTCTCTACCTTTCCCTCAGGCCTCGCAAGTGCTCTATCCATTACCGCACACATCAACCAAGTCTAGGCAACGCCTAAACTTTTTAAGAGACTCAATCTCTTTAGCCATAGCACTAATTCATCGATTTGGTTCTGTACTCTGAATAACTTCTGAGTAGCTATAACACTTAAATGCATCAATGGTCTCTGCAACTACCAAAGCAAATCCCACTGGATTCATATATCCAAGAAGATTCCCATCAACTATGTTTGCAAATCTTTGCGGTCGGTTGATCGCTCTCTTCTCTTTGCCTGTTGCAATGCTATATGGTTGTTGTTGCGTAGATGCATCAACATTATCATTTTGATCAATAATTTGCACCTCCTCCACTTCCTCTACTTCGGAACTACTGGGCTGAGCTAGTGGAGATTCAATTTCTAGCTCTATGCGGTCACTGACACCACGATCTATTTCTGCTATTGCCTTCTTCCTCTGACTGTCCAGTGAGGCAGATTCATCGAATGTTACATCCTTACTGATAATTAGCCCTAGAGACTTTTGATCCGTGCACCACAACCTATAAATTTCACTTCAGTTGCATACCCTAGAAATATACACTTCTTTGCCCTCGGCTCAAGTTTTCCATCCCTCACATGAGCATAAGCAGGACAACCAAATATCCTTAAGTTTGAATAATCAGTAGGCGAACCGGACCATACCTCAAAAGGAGTTTTGAACTCAATAGCTTTAGATGGAGATCTGTTGACCAAATAACAAGCTATATTGATTGTTTCAGCCCAAAAATCTTTACTAACACATGATGTGAAACATGTTTCGTGCCCTATCCCAAAGCGTTCTATTCATACGTTCTGCAACACCATTTTGTTGTGGTGTTCCAACACAAGTGTTGTGTCTCACTATGCCCTCTTTGCTGCAGAAATTATCGAACTCAGAATTGCAAAATTCCAACCCCTTTCTAGTTCGAAGACGCTTAACTTTTCTTTCCGTCTGCCTCTCAACCATCTCTTACATTTAAAAGTCGAAAATGCCTCATCTTTTATTTTCATAAAATACACTCACACCATCCTTGAGTAATTATCAATCAAAGTCATAAAATACCTGGTACCACTATTGGAGGGAACTCTATTTGGACCCCACAAGTCAGAGTGTATATAATCTAACTTGTCTCTAATCTTGTGCTTGGCCTTCTTGCTGAACTTTACCCTTGTCTGTTTACCAAACACACAATGCTCACAAAAATTCAAAACTTGATTGTTGTACCCATTTAGCAAATTCTGCTTACTCAATAAAGACAATCCATTCTCACTCATATGGCCAAGTCGCAAGTGGGATTACTGAGACCGATTCAGATCACTTTTCCTAGAAGCTACAACAGCTTCCCCTTCAACTATACTAGCCTGAAGATGATACATTTTAGAATGCAGTTTACCCTTCATGAGTACCATAGAGCCTTTACACACTTTAAGTATTCCATTCTCAGAGTGAAATTTATACCCTTGATCTTCCAAAGTCGAAAGAGAAATCAAATTTCTCTTTATCCGAGGAACATGCCAACACTCAATATTTCTAATAATTCCGTCGAACATTCTCAATTTGATGTTACCAACCCCCTGTACTGGTAATGGATTAACATCTCCTATATAGACAGTCCCACTCATTTGCTTGTTAGTTGCAAATTAATTCTTGTGTGGACATATATGGAAAATAACAGCAGAATCAAGAACCCTAGAATTCTGCCTATGACTAGAACTCACAGCACAGACTTCCCCTACATAGTCATTATCATCAGAATTATTGTCACTGTCAACAATATTTGCCGAATTATCTATTTTCTGCTTCCCTATTTTCTCCTTCAGCTTGGGACAATCTCTCTTGTAGTGACCTTGCTCCTCGCACTCATAATAGTGTTGCTTCCTTGCTCTAGACTTTGATCTGCGATTGACTTTTTCCTGTTAAAGTCCTTTTGTTGTGTTCTTCCTCTAATCACAAGACCCTCGCCCTCAATTCCGCTGTCTGGAAAGCTCTTTTTCAACTCTTTAGATTTTAGTGCATTGCTAACATCTTCCAGTGAAATGTTGTCTTTCCCATATAGCAGCGTATCGGCAAAAGTATCATAAGACGGTGGTAAAGAACATAACACAATCAAGGCCTCATTCTCACTCCCAATTTTGATATCCACATTCTTCAGGTCCATTATAATTGAATTAAACTCATCAATGTGAGTTTTAACAGGTGTACCTTCATTCATATGGAGATTGTATAACCTCTTTTTCAGGTAGAGGCGGTTTGTTAGCAGTTTCTTAGAATATAGATCTTCCAGCTTCTTCCATGCCGTTGCTGCACAAATTTCTTCAGCAATTTCCCGAAGAACGTTATCTGTAACGCTCATGAAGATCGCATTCAAAGCCCTCTCCTTCAGGTTTGCCTTCTTTGTCTCTTTCATCTCTTCAGGAAAATCATCATCAATTGCCTTCCATAACCCTTGTAACACCAAGGACGATTTCATCATAATCTTCCACAGACTGAAACTAGAACCCCCATCAAATTTCTCTACTTCGTACTTTGTTAAAGATGATGAAGACATCTTAACCCTAGATTATATGTGAAAACCCAAACCTTGCTCTGATATCAATTGTTGCGGAATATCATGGGTTAACTAGCAACACAATCACCACAAAGCAAATAGAGAAGAAAAATCAACAAAATGATTTAACGAGGTTTGGCTAAGCCTAATCCTCGGGGCAAAAGCAGAGAGTTTTCCACTATGAATGAGAAAAAAAGCACAGTACAATCTCATGGATCCCCAACTACAACCCTTATATATAGATCCCAAAAGGTTTCAACCATATAAGAGAAAGGTTTCCCAATTTGACAAGGACTATGTGTTTTCCTTTCCCAAATCTATTAGGGTTTTCCTAAACCTGTAGAGATTATGGGTTTCCTAAAAATACAAGGAAATAATTCAAGTCACAAATAATAAATTGTTGTCTGGAAAGCAACGGCATGAAAGAGACAGAGAAGGGAGAGTTGTTGGGTTAAAACGGCTCAAAGATACTCTTAACATGGTGTGATATTGTCCGCTTTGGGCCAAGCCCGCACGGTTTTTTCCAAAAGGCCTCACACCCTTAAGAGATCCCTACACCTTATATGTAGACTTTCAATCTTTTCAACTACCAATGTGGGACTTTGTTCGCACACCCAACAATAACTAACTTCAGCATTTGTACTTGACTCCATTGATTGATTGAAAGTTCCTCCCATCTGGAAGTTAAAAAAATATTAGCGATTTTAATTCCCTTGTTTTTTATTTTCATGTAGTTTTATATAGCCTCCTACTTTTCAAGTTTTATGCCCAAAAACATCTAAATTTGGAGTCATGTTCAGTTGATACGGTTGATTGAGAGAATCTGGATACTGTATTCCGGATGTTAGGTTAGAAGTAACTGTCAGTTTTTGTAGTGTAGCACATGATTTAATAAAGTCATTTGAGAGTATTCAATCAGTGAGACAGGTTAGTTAAGTTATACTTTAGCATTAGCAGATCTGGAATACAAGAGTGGGAACATGGGTTATTAATGATAATGTTTTATTAGCTGGTTAAATGCAGTCTGATACATCATTAATACCCTCCCCTTCTCTTTTTTTCCCTAGATTGTAAATGTAATATTTATTCATTTTAAATATCATTGTCTACAATAAAGGCCCCCAAAATAAAAATATGACTTATGGTACAGCGAAGAACAGGGTGGCTCGGCACATGGGGGGTTCAGATAGGGACATAAAAGGCCACATGTGGCCCTGTCTTAAGGCCAAAATATTAAAACTTGGTTGATTTACGCATATGCGCCGTATCCTTCGGTTATGACTTGTACTTGTGGGAGTGGGTTCTGCTGCTGGATGAGGTTTGTGATCCATTGTTTGGTTGCTAGGGTGCATCACCATAACACCTTCGACCCCTATTTCGTCCTTCACTTAGAGATAAATTTAGCATTTATAATCATAGGCCCCCATAATGTGGATTCAAGATTATTTGAAGTTTCTGTCCTGCAACAATCTCAAGTTAAATATATAATAATGATAGTTGCTCAAAAGTTATTGGATTCACGTGACTTATTAGCTAAGCCGTCCTTTGGGTCTAGAATGTTTCAAAAAAACAAATTTTGGTCGAATTCAATTGCAAAAGCTAGTTCATGAGGTGAAGACGGCTAAGACCGTATAGGAAGACATATTTTCT